GGACGCCATCAAATTCTTGGCATTTCCGGCAAAATTAAATTCCTAGTGCACTTTAGCATCCAAATAGAGTCTCGGTGCGGCCATCTAGTGTGGCAGAAACTAGACGTCCAAATTAACATGACCAACGGTATCTCACCCATTGTGGTGGTCTTGAAAGAGTGGATACCACTTCTGTGGAACGCACTAGGTCTGCTCATCGGGAAGACTCATTGTGCAGCTCATTGGAAATAAAAAAAAGTAAAAAAAATCTTAATAGATCGGGGGGGGGGGGGGACTTNGGGGTGACTTCAAATAGGCCTATTAATAAGTGCGGACGATATTTTAAGTTACAAAATCAGACATAAAAACGTACTTTCTCTGAATAAACATGCCTCTTTTTTTCGACGAATTTGGATTTCTGATGTAGGGGGTAGCCGCAATCTAGGAAATAGTGTCACAATAGTTTGGTCAGCAGAGCGCTGTAAAGTTTGGACCCCTTAATTATACATTTACTTTATTGATTAGTTTGAGATATTTCGAGAACTTTTCAAGTGAATTGAAAATTTTTTACTCACAACTATAAAATTAGTTTATCCAAAGATAATTCCATGCAAAAAGTAACGTTTAGTAAATAATTATTTGCTAATATTTTACTTAAGAGTGGTCGAAAAAATTTTGAATTGTAAGGTAGGCGAATTTTTGTATCCTTTCAAAGAATATAATTTTCCAAGGCCAAATGCAAAATACGAGCAAAATCAGTCGAATAGTTCCTGAAAAGTCAAACTTTAAATATCTGACTTTTTTGAAATCCAATTTCTCAAGAACAATTCAAGCGACTTTGATTAAATTTTGCATTTTACCATGTAAAGTTATATTCTTCAAAATGGTGCTAAAATTGCATACTTTACAAAAAAAGTTCTCGAGATATAGCGAAATACGCAAGAAGTAAAATTAACATTAAGGGGTTCAAACTTTGGAGCACTCTCCGGACAAAAATATTAGGACCCTATTTCCCATATTGCGGCTTCTCCCTATATTTTGGAGATCAGAATTCGTTAAAAAAAAAGGTATATTAATTCAGAGAAGGTACGTTTTTGTGTCGGATGTGGCTACTTAAAATATCGTCTGCACTTGTTAATTATCACATTTGAGGTCACCCCCTCGAGCAATTAAGATTGAGTCCTAGAACGTGAGGATCCAATCATTAGATCAAAAGTTATTCTGGGTGGTCCTTTTTTGGCGCACCGTACACAACTAACAGCTATTGATTCAAGAAAAAAACTTCGAATTTGAGTGAGATAATAGTTTCTTCCGAATCACTGTCAGACTCTGCGTATTGCAAATATTTATCAGGACAATATACACGTACAATAGCGGTATAGAATCTATTCAATGGTTTGCTTAGTAATATTTTCTCTCTTTTAAAATTGTTTTCAAGAAATAAACGAAAAGTTTTGCCATTAAATACGATTTATGTAACGGAGTAATTTATGTAATTACGTAGATTTAACCAGGCGATGAAACATTAAAATAACAATTTGTTAACTGTTTAATTGTTAAATCTGAATGCTTCTTACAATATATGTCATGGTTTTTTGTTATAAACGAGTTTGAATGTACTGAACTACATTGTCTTTAAAAATATGCAGATGGATATAAAAGTCGACAGATCAGAATGAAAATTTCTATCTGCATATTTTTGAAGTTAATGAAATTTTTTAATCGAAGTAAGAGATCTTACCACTTAAGTTTCCTGGGATTGTTTATTTAAAAGTTACACTGCATGGAAAACTTAAAGACACAATGGCGCTTCATAGTGAACAATTTAATTTTTAATAGTCGAAACCTAAATATTTATGAGTGAGCTACATATTTAATAAAGAGAAATGGGCAATTTATGGAGTTATGGATTTTTTCCCGGACTTCTACCGAAAATTGTTGAGTTACATAAAAATAGTTTTGTAAATAAAAACTAAATCCTTGCAATTAAATGCAACAAATTCAGGTAGCATTTAAAGGACTTCGTAATTTCCATAGTTTTTTATTCTTATGCAAAAAATAATTTTAAAATTTACTCACCACATTTTAGCTTAATCGCAACTGCAGTCTCCTGCTCTTTTTAAGTGACACCAACATTCAATCTACTACTGTAATCATCTAAATCTGAAATATATATATTAGGTGTTATATANCATTGAAATCTGCTGCAATTTGTGGAAGGGTTGCACGTCTGTCACGTTTAATGATTCGCGTCAATCGCTGTTGATCTCGTTCTTGCATGATGCTTTTCCGACCCCCAGAGATGTCGTAGATTTGATGTTTTACAGGATTTCCGATATTAACGGTATACTCGTGAAATGGTTGTACGTGAAAATTCAAATTTCATTGCTATCTCGGAGATGCTATGTCCCATCTCCCGTGCGCCGACTATAACACCACGTTCAAACTCACTTAAATCTGTATAACCTGGTATTGTAGCAGCAGTAACCGATCTAAGAGCTGTGTGCACGATTACGACGAATTGAACTACGATGAACTATAATAATAATAACATTTATTTACATAACAGAGGTAAGTTCACACAAGCTGCGGAAGACCGCAGGCAATCCTTTTACATGACNAGTTTTTTTGGCTCTTCAGTGTATATATACACACGAATGTTAATATTGCTGAAATATACTTATATCTACTGAAAAATTTATTTATTTCAACTCTTGTTTATTTACTTATTAACTGTTAATATCTAATCTATTTTATTTATTATCACGCAAACTTGTTTTTTGAAGAATATCTGCAATTTTGTATTTTTATTATTTGGTAAGTTAAAAAATATGAATGTTAACAATGAATGTCATATACTATGAATGTTTTATGCTAAAAAGGATAATTAGTAATATAAATAGTGCTTTACATTATTGTATTAATTATCTTTGCAAATACATGTTGACTGAAGTTCAGAATAAATATTAAAAAAACTTATTTACAGGTTTTGTGAAACTGTTAAGTAAAATACAATTCTCAAAATATTTATGTAATAAGGTAATATAGTGTAATTTTACAATAAAGTAAAACACATTTTATTTAGTTTGAAGTTGTTAACTAGGAATAATAAATAAATTCAAAAATGTAATAATATAAAAGAATGCTAAGAAAATATGGTAAATAAACTTATACCGATAAATGCCATTAAATAAGAGATGCAGAAATGTGCAAAAAATATCATTGTACATTTTATGCTGATCTGGATCTCAGACTTCAGCAAAAAAAAAAAAAAGGGTTAAAAAAAATTAAAAAAAACGGCAATGTGAATAAAGCACTCGTGAAAGTACAAGTTATTGAAAAATAAAAAGGACAGTTTTTTTTGTTGCTTTTGTTAGTTTATATAGCACCAAGCACCTTTTGGACATCTGGATCTTCTCTGTTAATTAACGAACCATGTCGTGCGATTTTCTTGCCAATAAGAATGAATTGGCAACAAAAAAACGATTCTAAATCATTTCCTTTTCATGCTTTATGGAAATAGATACGAGGGTTGCTATTTATATTTCTGGCCTTGGCAACAGTAAGTGTTGCTAGGCGACCACAGACGATTTTAATCGAAAGTTTGATATTTTTAAACATAAATTCAGCAGATGATTTACCATTATAGCTTCATTTGTGTTGTTGACAGTAAAATTGAAAAGTTCTTCTCTTTCAAAAAATGGATTTGAATCGTGAACATTTTCGTGCCATTATTTTTCATAACTTTCGACGTGGATTGTCAAGACAAGAGTGCTTCGATGAACTTAATTCTTTATTCAGCGATAAAGCGCCATCCTACAGCACTGTAAAAAATTGGTATAACGAATTTAATCGTGGTCGATGTTCGATCCAGGACGAATCCCGTGCAGGTCGTCCAAAATCCGTTGTTGTGCCAGAAAAGATCGATGCTGTGCGTGAACTGATAAAGCAAGATCGTCATGTGACATACCGTGAGATAGAGGCGTCTTTGGACATTAGTATGACTAGCATCAATAAAATATTGCATGAACATTTGAGCGTAAAAAAAATTTGTTCGCG